ACCACATCCACCGCTCTACCATCATCAGATTTTCGACATGGAAACAATTTTTTTGTTTGTTTTGTGAATCTTCTGATATAATCTGGTAGTCTAAATTTTCAGATACAGCTAGAACAAAATATTAATGTTTCTGCCTTTTTTAGTCTGCTACTCTCACACCTGAGATTCCTTCTTCATGGATTCTTGATAAAATGCTGAAAAACCCACAGTCCTGTCCTTCACAATCACGCAAATAAGGATCACTACAATGTTTTAGAGGACTACCTTGTGCAATGATTATGAAAACCCCAAAATATTACAGACACATGAAATGCAGTACCTTGACTGAATTTGCCGTGATCCCATGTAGTACCCTGCAGATGTCATCCAGGACACTCTTCATTTCTGTGGTTGCTCTTGACTCTCATTCCTCTTCTACAGGTTTTCACTTTCAATTTTCACTTTCATCCTAATTAGTACTCTGCATTGCATTTTCACATAAATTCAAAGCCTGGCCTTTAGGTTTTCATTACAGCATAGTGTGTAACACAGAAGTAGATGCAGTATGAGTATCATCGTATCCTGAAGACAGTCTTGAAAGCTAGTATGGATGGCTTGACACTGACTTGGCTTGTTCCCGGTGTCCCCAGTGAGCTGAGGAACACAAAGACAACCTGTTCTGGCATCCTCTGAGCAAGACCTCTACAGAGTGCATGGGAGAAGGTAACAGGCATTCAGAAAGTGCACAGTGACTCCTCATGGTGAGTTTTTGCTTGCCCTGAGGTACCATTTGGAGGACACTGTAATGCTCAGCACTGTATAAATGTTCCATAAGCGTTATATAAGCTCATGCAATGGTGATGGAAACAAACACGTATTTTGAAAGAGAATTAAGAAAGAGTTGCAGTACAGGGCAAAGCCTTCAAAATTTTGTAATTACTGAAATGCTTACAGGTCAATGAGCTCACCAGGGGAGAGGCTTTCAGTGAAATCTGCAATAGATGGCATAACATACACAGAAAAAAAATGTTTCATTTAAATCATCCCAGCTGAGTAAGTAACATGGAGAGTCTTTACAAACAGCTACCACATTTCCTAGGAATGACCAATGTCATGCAATATAATCTACCCAGTCCTAGAAAGCCATTCCCTGCAAAAGACAGATGTTAGGGATCACTTTGCTTGCTCAACTGTTGTCATGCCTGCAGAAACAAGTGAATTCACAGTGATATACCATCTTCCTTCTGAAATGAAAACAAATGTGAAGAAATGTAAAACTAAAAAGAAATGTAAAATTGGTTCTAGACTCTTCCATCTGTGAAGAAATGTGGTCCTCACAAATAATTTTCACATCGCATTGCATCAAATATTTCTTCAGTTGTATTTCTCAGGGTGGCTCATACTCTGGAATCAACCAAAGAAGGTTGACTCTTCTCTATAGCACAACAAACCCAGCTAAGCCTATAAAACCAGTGGTCTATCACAACTGATTTTTACGTATGCTATGCAAGCATAATCTCACCTGTCATCGTGTCTTTCCTAGAAGTATGTTCTCCCTTATTTCCATGGTATGTGGCGTTTGTTCCAGTTGATTCATAGTCTGTTTTTCTTTCTTTTAGGCTGATCATTTCCCGAGGTGAGGCTGGGGCACTTGCTAGATCACAAAAATGGGTTTATTTTTTCTCGCCACATATGACTGAATGTAGTGTTTATCTCTAGAGTAAATATTTTAGTACAGTCTTTACTTGTTAGCATACTAATATTAAGCTGTTTGAAGAAATGGTGTTGACATTCCAAGTACAGGACAAATGTGTTAATGGGACAATCAACTCCAAACATAATTTTCTCTCTGAAAGTTTTACTTTCTTCACTCGTACCCAATGTCTACAATGATCACTATGAAAAATGTACAACATTTTTTTTTTCCCCTTTAGCTTTTAAATTTCTTTAACTTGTCAAAATTCCCTGGCATAGGCACTCCCTTGGTAGAGTTTTTTTTTGGTTTTGTTTTTTTTTTTCCCCTCAAAATGGTTAATTTATTTCTGTTAAAAAGACTGTTAACTTTTCAACTGTGTGGAGAAAAACTTATAAAAAAGTTTCTTCCCTTCTCTGCTGAAAATAAAGCAATTAAATGATTCTAATAGAGACAAGAAGAAAAGTGTTTTCATAGAAAACATATTTTCTAACACTAACATTTCTCTCTCTCTTTAAACATCTATGTATGAACAACTGCCATTATAAAAGCAACTGCTACTTTAAGGTATTATTAAAACTAAATCCTTCAATACGTATACTCATGGTATGACTAAAAGGAGGAAAGTATGAGCTGACTAGGAGGAGAACTAGGTTTGTACTCGAGTCTCATACACTGGAGAATGTGAAGGTGATCACTGTCAGTGATCATGAAAGACATACAGCTTGTGATGCTTCAGAAAAGGAGAAAAGCAGAGGAAAACATGTCATTGAAGTAAATTGACATCAATTTTAGGTGTTGACAGATACAATGCACTTTCCCTGTTGTGGAGGGCAGTAAAGTAGTACGAGATGAGTGGCAGAGCACCCCAGAGCCTCGTGAAGACACAGTGGCATAAAAATAACTAAAGTGCTGCTGCTTACTCCCACACCCTCCCCTGCCTCCACCCAGATATTTGATGTAACAGCATCCTTGATTAAAAAGAAGGGATCTCTCTCTCTCTCTTTCTTTCTTTCTTTCTTTCTTTCTTTCTTTCTTTCTTTCTTTCTTTCTTTCTTTCTTTCTTTCTTTCTTTCTTTCTTTCATGTAAGACAAGGTCATTTCTGAAGATGGATTGTGAGTTAGTTTTCAGCACCTCTAAACTATATTACCTTTTTTAGCTAAGGAGTAGGGAAGCCCTTGTACTTAACTGACAAACAGGGAAGCACAAGAGATGTTGAATTCTGCTTAGGTTGGTTCTGCTGGCCTTGGCCTCTGCATTTACAGAGCAAATGCAGGATAGATGGTTTTTCTTATGAAGCCATTAGAATTGGGGATTGCTTTTAAATTGCTTGTCAATAGTGATGTAATTCTAAAGCTGATAATCCAGCAGGTACAAATAAACATGACATTAAATGACCACATCAGCTAATGGCAACTTGAGTCTAATAGGGAACAAACCAGAATGTGAACCTTGAAAAAGCAGCTAACAGAGGGTTGCATTTTGTTTCACATACAATGGTGATGCTTTTAAGCATTCCGGAGTTTTTAACAAAATTGACTGATAAAGACAAAACCATCTCTCTCTTTGTTTCCTGAGGGAATTATCTCTCTCCTCCTACGTGAGAACAACTGTTTTCTGGCAAGTGTTAAAAACCAGAAGTGACCTCTGTCGGAGTTTTTACTGGAAGCAGACATAAAATCACTGGTTGATGTTAGACTGAAAAAATGATATCAAGGTTTTATGCTCTTCTTAAAGGACACAGAAAAGAAGACAGAGGTCTCCATGCTAGTTTAAGCATCTTATCACCAAGTCCAAGGGATGGATGGGACATTGTGAGTTCATTTACTTCAAATATTTACCCCAAGGCAGGATCCTGTAAAGCAAAATAATTCTTGACAGATTTTAATCTAAATCTAAGGATCTCTAATGACAGAGATCACATAACTGCTCCAAGCAGTTTGTTCCAGTACTTTGTTTCCCTGGTTAGGAAATGTTCCCTGATGTCTAGCCTGACTCCTTGCTGCTCATTATCTCCATTTGTCTGCTATGAAAGGAGAGAATGTTCATGCCTTTCCTCTTCACATCTGTCTGTTAGGTGGTTGAATACCTCTTCCCACTGCCACCCTCTTGTGTCTCTCCTACTCAAATTAAACAATTACAGTCCATTCAATGTGTCCTCATATCCCGATTTCTATATCTTCCAATTCATGTGTGCAACTGAAAAGAATCCCTAAATAATTTCTAAAGAACTTCTATTGAGCCAGGTATTCTCCTTATAATTTAATTGTAAAGGACTGGATCTTTCTTTCCCTTTAGACACTATCTCCAGTTTCTCAAGATCACTATGAGTTCCAGTAATACCCTTCAAGGTACATGAGTTTCTCCCAGGTTTATGTCAGCTGCAAAGGTAATAGACATCCTTTCTATATTTTCTAGGTCATTAATGAAACCACTAAGGAACACTGGGCCTAAAGTAAACCTCCAAGCAAGGCATTCTTCCGTTTTGGCAGTAATCAATACCCATTCTTTGTGAATGGTTTTCAGTCAGTTTTATATTTGCCACACATGACATTTTCTGGACTGTCTGCTAGCTTGCCAGTAAAAACCTCGTGTGAAAGTCTCTTACTGATTATAGTAAGATACATTGTGGTCTTCCAATATCTGAAGGGGGCCTACAAGAAAGCTGTGGAGGGACATTTTACAAGGGCTTGTAGTGATAGGATGAAGAGTAACGGGTTCAGACTGGAAGAGGGTAGATTTAGATTAGATGTAAGGAAGAAGCTCTTCACTATGAGAGTGGTGAGACACTGGAACAGCTTTCCAGGGAAGTTGTGGATGCTGCATTAACATAGGTGTTCAAGACCAGGTTGGATGGGGCTTTGAGCAACCTGCTCTGGTGGGAGATGCCCCTGTCCATGCCAGTTGGGGTGGAAGTAGATGATCTCTAAGGTCCATTCTATGATTCCAGTAGATTTCATTTACTTACTATTCTTTCCACAAAGTGCTTTAACTATGTTTTAGCAGGAATTCAGGTCAACTTTGCAAGAAGAAATCACGTTGAATCCATGTTTGGATTTGATATGGATACTGCCAGACAGACAGTACCTTATACTATTATGTAGAAATAGATACTTCTAGAGTTAAGCAGTATCTTATGTTCCTACTGTCTTTGGGGTGCGCAGATTGTGATTATTTGTTCCAATAATTTTCTAGAATGAAGTTGAGCTGACGGGTCTGTAATTACATGGGCTCCTCCTTCAGAAACAGCCACTGTATTTGTCCTTTTTCAGTCTTATGAGAAGAGCTGATGGCATTAAGATTTCATCCAAATTTTCTTTAAGTATGTTCTTTAAGTGACAGAGTAACAGAAGTGAAGAGACAGTTCTAGCAAGAGACAGCTAAGCTCTCAGGGCCAGACATTTCAAGTGCTTTGCACTTAGAGTCAAACATAGATTTTGGAGAACTAAAAAAGGAACAAGAGCCATTTATGGACTTGTGTAATGACAGATTTTGAAAACTGAATAGCAGCTCTCACTGTACTTCTGACTACATTTTCAAATTTCCTCAGTGGCTGTTTTGCAGGACTAAGATGCAGCCTGTAGATAACTAACAAAACAGTTGCCCTAAAACCCAAACTATTGTACAGTGCTGATAGCAATAATCACTTTGGCCAATTTTAATCCTAAACTCTAGATATACCTATGGAATGACAGCATTTCACTGAACAAGTAGTAAAAAACACACTGAAAGGCTAACTGTTTTACTCTCTTTATCTTAAATTTTCACTGGGAATGTTTTTTATCTAACCAAGATATGTTCTGCCTTAGAATAAACAGAGAGGAAAATGCCTAGATTTCTGAACAGGAAAATGAACTAACACTGTGGTGTAAGTTGAGATACATTAACTCATTAATGTAAGGAATGAATTAATGTAATTAATGGATCATACAGAATTAAAGATTGCTGGTGTAAATATGCCATCAACATTATATGAAGACTTCAAGACTACATGAAACTTACATATGCATGTGTATGCACACTTACATACATATACACATATAATCAGAATAAAAGCTAACAAAATAAAAGTGGATCCTTCAACTTCTGCTCTGTGTGCCAAGAGGTCGTGAGTAGCAGTTTTCATGACTAGCAAAAAGTGAGTAGCAGAATTTCCTCATGCTACTAATGGACACCATTGCCCTGAGATCTAGTTAGGCCTAGAATGAGAATTCACTGCAGAAAGTTATGGGATATTCTTTTCTGCTGCAAAACTTTACAAGGCGTTAATAAAAACCAATGTAACTCCTGCTTTGAACAAATAATTTAGAGTTAAGAGTAAAGAATATATTTGGTGACCTTCCACCATTGTAAACCACAAATCTGGATGCCAGTGCCATTGCTTAAAGGGAAATGCCAGTGATGGATTTCTCGTGCCGCTGCTCCGCTCCCGAAGGCCTGGGCTTACCTGAGCGGTTGTTGGGAGACATGCGCACTGGAGAGATGGAGGGCGTGCGTGAGGAGGAGTACGGTCTTTGCCGATCCCGTTCTATTGTTGAAGATGAGGCTACAAAGTGATACTGTGACCATCCGTCCTGCAACAGCAAACATTGCACCAGCAGTCAGTGGAAACGCCACGCAGGTCCCCAGTTTAAACACAGAGTATTTTCCTCCAAAGTTCTCACTACGTGTACACAAGTAGGCTACTACCTTCTTCATTCCATTTGGTGGCAAATATTCTCAGTGGTTCAGGATATGATGTGCTGACTGTACTGACACACCAGCAGAAAAATTAAATTGCACAAAATTCTGTAAAAATAACACATTTTTAGAAAGGCTCAAATTATAAAAAAAATGAGCAACGGTTTTGGCTACTTATTTAACAGTTCTGTCTTTCCCCATGCCTCTATTTTCATATTGCAAATAGTGTTATGGCTATGAAAATATTCTAAACCATAAGACTGCTTGTTTTCACAGTGAAAATCCATTTTTGCTTTAAATAATTTCTATCTTGTAAGAAAATGTTGGAGTAAGTGGATGGGGAAGCAACAGGATTATAAAAATTATTGCAACTGTTTGGGTATCTGTAGTCGTTATATCAATTGACCACTTGCTCACACATGAGGGAAGAAGAATCAATGAATTTCCTTGTATTTTTCTCAATAGGTACACAAAGAAATTCTATTCTTTCTATTTAAAACTGTGGTAATAGTGATATAGTTAAAAACAAACACCAAAGTAATACAAACTCTAGAAAAGAGTTTACAGCATTCACATTTTGTTTGTGAACCACAATATAATGCAACGATCCACAATAATGTACTTTACAGTTCTAAAATTATGTGAAAAATAGTTTGAAAGTATCATGAGAGATTAAATTGACTTGTGCCAGTGCTCTTACTAAAAGAGAGTATGTCAAATGTCTTGAAGTACTGATAGACTTTAACTATCTTTATCACTGCCTAATGTTAAACCTAAATCAGTAACACAGACTTTTTTCCCAGTCTGGCAGTGAGGGCATAAGCCTTTTACAAATGCCTACTTTCTGTTTGGCTCAGTGGAAATTAAGTCAAGCACCTGCCATGGTGCCAAACAAAATTTTTGCAATGAAATTATGAATAAATAAAATAAAAATATTAGCAACACTCAGATGGACTTTTCCTCTTGCTTAGAGAAAAATAATTCTGCACTGGGGTGGTAAATATTATCACACCCTACCTCAGGCCACTCCAGATATCCAACCCTGATTCACATCCGCTCCCATCCTCTGCCTTTGCCGAAGGCATCTCTCTGACTTCTCCCTCCACAGAAACCACAAGCACCTGGCCCTCAGAAGTGTAAAAGAAAATGGCCCAAAAATCCTCCTTCCACTAAGCTTTTAGGAGACAGAACTCAGCAAGAGTGTGAAACAGCAGGAGAAAAGAAGATACTCATACTTGATGTGGACAAAAATGTAACAAGTAAATTAGGATAGACAGAGGTGACAACTACAAATTCTGAAAGTCTGTATTCCTTACATAAAGCATTTATTTAAACATGTGCACCTCAGTCATAATTTCAAAGGGAAAAAAAAAAAAAAAAAGGAAGAGTGAAGTCTGGGCCATGTTTTTCACAGTGGAATTGTGACTTTCACCAAAGTCGATGGTGAGTGCTTGTCCACAGAGGTCACTCATGCTTAGGACACTTCACTGAACTGAACCCCATATTTCATGACAGTCATAAGAAAATACCAGGAAGAAAACCAATTAAATCATAACATTAAGAGTAACTTGAAAAAGAGAAATAGTTAATCTTTAATACCACTTTCTTAAAACAAAATTTTCTGTATCTGATCTTTCACTTCCAACACGCAGCTTCTACACAAGCCGCATCCTCCAACCTAGAAGTAGGATCAATAAGAATGCGAACAAAAATATCTGTAAAGCCCCAAGTTCTCAATGTTAAATCAATTTAGTAATTATTAGACATTTTTAAATATATATGCATGTATAAAATATGTATATATAAAATTCCATGCATTTTTAAATTATAATTTATCACTATAATGATAACGAATAGCTTAAGCCCAATAATCTTATGCAAGCATCAAGACCTTAAATAACACACAACATTATTTTTATGTCTCCTGTTAATAATAACTTGCATGGTGATTTCTGTAACATAAAAATGAAGTAGCAAACATGTGAGAAGCCCATATTCTATTGAAGTTAAATGGTTCCCTTCTTCCGCCTCCTCTGGGTTCAGAAGTTCTTATCAGAAAGGTCACTCTCTATAATTCACTCTGTTACAGTTTTCTGGTAATTTATTTTCTTTTAGACAGACTGCTGAAGAGGAAGATGTCAAGAAGACAGACTTTACATGTGATAAAAGGAGAAGAAATATTTATTACTGTCTGCCTGCAAAAGGAAGAGACATCCACCACACTTAGAAAGTGCAAGTCAGGAATGCTTCCAGCTTTGTGCATCGGGACGCATGCATGGCCAGGTACACCCTCCTTTTGCACTCCTTCTTCCCTCAAATAAATCCCTGGCAGGTGGATCAGAAAAAAAGTGACCTGAATCTTCCCCTAAATCTTTCTTCCTGTTGTCTGTTCCATCTTTATTGCCTATATTAATATCTGGACCTCGTTTCTGATGGGAAGTGGATGAAATAAATACCCGTTATCGCCACAGTCCCACGGACTCTAGAGGAATAGTGCCTGGCACCAGTTTTGTTCTGCAGAGTATCAACAGGTACTTTGTCAATGCTGATTACTCAGGAACAGCACGGCAAGGTGCCTTAGCAGTGTGGGAGCTAAATCCAGCCGTATTTGGGATGCCAGCAATAGCATTTTTTCTGTGCAGCAGACGGTTTTCCTTCTTTTCCTCCCTGCAAATTTTTATTCTCCGCCAAGAGTACTGCCTGTAATGAGGTCTTCAAATAAAATCTGCTACAGACTTTCAAGTTTGCAGGCCTAAGCAGCTCAGTAAAACAAGCTAGGCAAACAATAAACACTACACAAGTATTGTGGTGACTTGGAACTGCTTTTGACTAAACAAGGCACATGGCTGTCACCATATCACAGCCTTCATGGTGTTTTTCAACAGCTTTATGGGCAGCTCTCAGACCTCACAGCATTTCAAAACCCTAATACTTTTACGTTGTGTATCTTTAACTCTCTTCTGCCACAACGAACAAGCTTCTTTCCTTGGAAAGGTAAACAGTTTGGAACAAATTCATTAAAACTATCATCATCAACAATTCCAAAAGCTATTAGCATTAAATATTGAAACTAATTTTTAAGAGCCTAAAGGGAGTATTTTCAATTTAATGCTGAGATAAATACCACCTGACGTGATGGTTGCTTTCATTAGTTTGTTTCAGCTCTAGTGCCTGTAATGAAATTTAATTAAATTGATTTGGGCACTTAAAGGTACAGTATATAGCAGTGTCCTGCAGAGAAGAAAGCTAACTCAAAAGCAAAGTGTGTGAGACTGCATTTCAGAAACCAATTTACCATCCACAAACGTGATCCAGGAGAGAAAAAGTAAGACAAAAAGATCTGACAAATTGGAAAGAAATTCAATGCAATTCTGTTACAGAATGGATGCATTTGTTAACTCAAAGCAATTAATTAATAGGTGGCAAATGCACACTACAGGTGGCAGAGAACAACCAGAGTACAGAAATACCATTATCTGTCCTGATTTTCTGGGCATTTCTCTGTAGTTTGACAATAATGAATGTGTGTATTCTCCCGCAGTTATACACCATTACATCCAAATGTTAAAGCTTGATTAGCAGTGACATGTTTCTGATTATATGTTCTTGGGAAAGCTGCAGGGATTAGATTTGGGGTGGGATTTGGATAACCACTGGAGAAAAAAAAAAGAGATACTGTAGTGTCACTGATCACCTTTTATTTGGCTTAAGAAGTGAACAGGTCCTTTGTTTCCCTGCTCAACTTTAAGTAATTTTGAAAATAAATAATTTTCTCCAGGTCAATGGGAAATAATTGTTTTGTCAGGATGACTAAACTTAAATAGGTATACGAAAATATAATTTGAGTTTTCCACATTATTCTTTGTATTTAACATGTAAGGGGAAAGAGAAACCAGTTTTCTGTTCTGTTTGCAAGAATTTAAAATTTTCAGAACTCTGTTAGCAGAGTCCTTGACTTGAGGAGATAACTTGCAGAGGTGGGTGATAACAGAAACATTTTTTCCACTTGTGGTAACAGTAACACTGTGAGGCCTGAATGAAATTAAGCCCTGATGGCAATGAACACCATGCTGGTGCAACAGGTAACAAGAGGTCCTACCTGAAGATTTCAGAAAGAGGAAAGAGATGGAACCAGATACAACAAGGTGGCCAAGGAATGGGTGGTGGAGTAAGTGATGGAGCACCAACATCACCAGCCTCGCTGTGGTGCCTACCCTGGGTGACCTCCTGGCATCCACTCAGAAGGAAACACCACATCACCTTATGTGCCAATAGCCATGCAACAGAAATAAAAAGCAGCCCTACCCTCTAGACTGATTATGCCTGTCAGCTTCTAAGGAAGCACTGACTTAAAAAGCAGTGAGTGGTTTAGAAAAACTTATTGTGGCTGCATGCACATCAGCATCTTTCAGTGCTGAAGAGCATAGTGTGCCCTGACTCCTGGCCACTGATGTCCTAACACTGTCAAAAAGAAAAACAGCAATTTCTTGGAAGCAGAGAAATCCCACTAGGGAAAAGAAAAAGAAAAGCAACAAATCCAACAATGAAACAGCTAAAGCCTGAGAAACTACAGAGAATGTTGTATCCTGCCTCCCTCCAGTTTACAAACTCTCCAGCACGCTACTTCTTGCTTCTGGCCTGATCCGCTTGTGACTTGGTTTAACAGACATTCTTCCAAATGACTCGACACATACAGGAGCAGACTTGTTTTCTCATCCTACTTCCTTATCTGTAAGCTAGCATTTTACTGATTCCAGGATATTAGTTGTAATAGTAATTGCTCCCGTGATGGTAATAAGCTGTAGAAATGTGAGGTTTTGCTAGGCAACCACTTGCAGGAATTGGTAACTAGACCCACCACGGGGTTAGAAGTAGGTGATACAGCACCAAGGCA